GTTTCATCAGAAAATTAAATTTCCACATTCATTTGATATCAATATCGATAACATTACATATATTGATTCTATGCGCTCAGCTTCATGTTGTACCTGTGCAATACTAAAACACAGACTTTAATATCATTGACATTAAATTTGTTGCTAACATATCTTTCAGATATAACGAGGTACGCTGACATAGTCATTTGACACAAAATAATACAAGCAGAACCTGTGGTAATAAGTCGAAAGGATTTTGTTTATCTGTTTTTTTTTTTTTTTTTTTTTTTTTTGTATTTTATTCGTCTTTTGGCTTTTTTGTTTTGTGTTTTTTTTTTTTTTGTTTTTTTAGAAACGACAACAATAAGAGCACATGTACTTAATGATAAAAACGCTTTTTGTCCTCTATTCCATATGCCAACATGACCCAGAATGTCTTCTACTGATCAAGGAAGTGTATATTTAGGCCACAGAGGCGTATACATACAAAGGTCCTTTTATTATAGTGTACACTAAATCTGACGAGAATAGCATTAGTATTGCATGATATAGATATACATATGAAAAAAAAAAGAAAAGGAACAACTTTTTCCAAAAAATCATCTAGTAAGATAATCGCAAGTTGATACGAAATATATATACAGAATCAGACTGAATATTTGTTTCCTTGCTGATAATATACTTAACATGCAGAGGATATACATTTGACCTTAAATCAAAAAGATTTCCGTATATCCTGATTTCATTTATAGGTATCTTGTTCCGTTGAACGATATCTATATTTTACTTACATGTGTAAATATACAATGTATATCGCCAAATCAATAAAGATATCCCTACATAAATCAAGGATATCTCTGTTTTATTTTTATAAATTATTAATTAACCAGGTACTACATATCATTAAATAATGGACTTATGAAATAAATTATTTATGTACTCTTTTTGTTAGAATTCAGAAATAAGATTATATATAATAAACATGGTCCTAATAACTCAGATCAGTTCAGGTAAGGCTTAAATCGACATGTACATATTGATTTAAAAAAAACCCAAATGTTTGAATCGATACTTCAGGAGTCACTGTCGCTCTCTGAACAAACGATAGTGAGTGTAATACCTTGAATATTGAGGACGTGTCTCAATGCCTATCAATAAAACTATGAATGATGTATTACTACAAATATTCCCTATGCTTATTTGTGAAGTGACTAATTATTGAAAAAGAAAAAATATCTTTTTATTCTATGGACTTTCAAATTTCGAATTATCGGATGCCTCGGTTCCAATCAGATTTAAGTATAATTCGAACTTATACTGTATTTCACGGAGAAGTTTATATTTCGTATACAGTCCGCTCTTACCATGGTACTCACCTCTGCTTTATCGGAGTTCTCTTCTGGCCAAGCCAATACCGGTTAAAGGCATTTTGATATACATAGACATACCCGGAACAAACAGAGTTATGACTCTGGAATACCCAAGTCACGGGTAATGAACATATAGGACAGGTTTATCCTACACATATGTGGAATTGACCTCATTGTACTAGAAAATACAGGTTATATTTGAGACAGGAGATCGTTATACTGTGGAGTTGTTGACCTATGCGAACATAGGTTTGTATTATCTTTAAATCTGAAACTGAAGGGGACTTTCTCATTTGCCCCCTCCTTTTACATACCTTCTCTACCCACTTAATCTCCCATTAAAATTCATTCAATCAATGCATAGTTCAATTTGTTTTAAGTCATTTTGTGTAGATAGTTAGGTTTTGTATAATTATTTTTTGAGAAGGGAGTGATATATGTTTAAAAAAAAAACTTGTACCGGTTACCCATTTACTGCAGTCAGATATTTTTTATTTAAACCAAATAGAATCTTAGCATCGGAAAAAAGGTTGAAATTGTTGATCGAATCATGACGTGAACTTTGCCGTTACAGAATGGTGACCATTGAGGGAAGTGTACACAACCATTGATAATAAAGTACATTAAAACGCAAATGTATGTGATACATGTACTACACATGTACTTTGGAATTTATAGTGAATCATGCCTTACGTCCGGTTCAACGAGTCCTTCATATATCCTTAAACTGTACAGAATTAATATGAGTCATGATTTAGAATTAGCATTAGGGTTTTCTTTCAGATGGATTTCAATCATGTCCGGTTACAAACTTTCGAGTCCGAAATCATGTTACAGAATGTAGGCTGGTACCGATTTGTAAATCCTTCTTAGCTCAAACTCACTTTGATGACCGAATCTATTGCTTATGTTCGAAAATTTGAACTTTAATGTACATTACAAACAAACCATCAAACGCAAACCAGTGTTACGAAGCGACAATTCCAGAAATGTATTGACATACATGATATTGATCAATTACGGTGGCCTATTTCAAACTGAGCAATACATTTAACATCCCCTGTATTCCCTGTAAACACGTATCCCTCCATCGTGGTAGTTAATGTCGAAGAGGTAGCACTCTAAAGTGCAAGTGACTGTAACGTGCACCCTTATGGTAGCGTGCGTGCACGCCGGGCTCTCAATTTATACGGAGCTACCTGCTCCAGAGGCGATCGGGATACCTCGGCTACCTGGCCGAACAGTTGAACAAAATAACACAAACAATATATCAATATACACTACAATAGAATGGACAGTACCCCTGTCCTCCCTACACCGTCGCCTGGACGTAGATCACACCACAAGACTATAACACACCACAACACTCAACAGCCTGCCAGCACCATGACACTGTCACTACTACAGGCACGTCGCCGAGCTGACCACCGTACAGCTCCGACGTCGCCTGTCAGTGTCCTGCTGTTACAAAGTACTAAGATAAGGTGTCAGTTTTTGTATCAGCAGTCAGGCGTACCAGAGCAGCCTTTGCAGGCGACTCCTTATCCAGAAGCTTCTGGCGTACCTGACTCGTCAACTTACTGGCACCAACCACACGTACACTGTTACCCGAGTAGCCTTATTCAGGCAACCCCTTATACAGGAGCTTCTGGTAACAGTATGCAGCCAATGCTTACCTTATTGTTACGCTGCACACTCTGTGTGTCTTCAGAACTTCCAGCCCACAGTACCGGTTTCAATTAGCCTTTACATAAAATTTGGTGTAACATTCTGGGTGTCATTAATTTGCAGATTAACAAAGCACCAAAACTATCTCATAACCCAAAATACGTATATATTTATTCATTATAAAGTATGATGACATATATAGAAAACACCAGTTTCCTTTACAAATTAGTCAATCATCGTTAATTACATTAATTATGTATATTACATGAAGGGAGATAACTCAAACTGAATAAAATCACCACTTGACTTTTGCGAAATAGACAAAATCGCTGAAGAACAGTGATTCAATATTTGCATAAGAAAGGTCTAGACATTACTGATATAGTAGCTACACAACGAAATTATGAACCTTTCTATGCTACAGTAAAAAGGTGGGTGGCGGGATCTAAGCGTGACAGAGCCTTGGGCATGACACCCGTCCTGGAAGGCCGGTCACTGTTGCAACCCCAGAAATGGGCAATAATGTCCAAGATATTGTTAAGACTGACAGGCGAGTTACAGACCAATATATAGCCAGTACAGCTGGGATTTCATTGGAAAGAAGAGTAAATTCCATTCTTACGGACGATCTTGCAATGAGAAAGATGTCAGCCCGTTAGGTATCAAGACTTCTGTCAGTTGATCAGAAACACACCAGGCGGACTTTGTCGCGTGCTAATCTGAACCTTCTATCAATCTGCAGAGGTTTGTGATATGAATGAAATTTAGGTAAATTATGTCACCCCAGAGGCCAAACAACAGTATAAACAAAGAAGGCAACAACACATCCAACAGATTGAAAGTTCATTGTCGTGGTTTTCTAGGATGCTCGTAGTATTCTAATGATAGATTATCTGAAAAAGGGTCAAACAATCATTGACATATATTATGCATCACTTCATAAGCAGCGAAGAGAAAATAGTAAACTCAAGCGCCGCGGAAAACTCAATAAAGGTATGTTTTTTTATTAGGACAATTCCCCTGTTAACAAGTCTGTCATTGTCATGGCTTTCATTACTGATTTTGGCTTTGAACTGATTGAGCACCCGCCTTACTCGCCTGATCTCGCTCCATCAAACTTCCTTTTATTTAAAAAAAAGGCAATTTCCGGTACCCACTTTCAGTCAGATGAAGACGTTATACATGTAGAGAAGAAATATTTTGAACGGTCAAGAAAAGGACTTCTTTAATAGTGGAATTGTGGCACTTAAACATCGCTGGTAAAAGTGAATAGATAGTGAAGGGGATCACGGTGTAAAATAATGCGTTAAGTCAAACTATTAAATATGAGGCTCACAACTTATGAATCAGCCCTCTTGGTTAAGTGGTTAATTTGTTTCCAATGGCGTTCAATACATCGAGAATTGTCGGGATTTTACAAATTTTCATTCCCGGCTATCAGTCTTACCGACTCTCTATACCAAAGAGAGAGATAGGGGGAGGGGGAAGGGGGCGGGGGGAGAGAGGGGGAAAGGGGGGTTCTAACAAAGGCACCATTGTGGGGAACTAAATTGTTTTTCAGATCAACATTGCGATGTTCGTTGAAAATTGTGGGGAATACACTGATTCTTCACAAATTTGTTTAGAGAGAGAGAGTAACACACTAATAACTTTATAAATTCATATAGCAAATCACACTCTTATTTTCTTGTTTTTTGTTCAAGATTCCTTTGCATTTTGCTCAGTTCTAATGGACACACTCATTTATAGCTAAAGGTGTATAAAACATTACCTTTATCACATACTGTACATACACACACTCACAGTCATTCTCCCATATGCATTGTTCATATCACAGTTAAAGAGTTCGTAACGTTGGTTACTATATCTGAGAAGTTCAGAATACACACTTGGTCGAGCTGCTAAACCTGCATGCATCGCTGCAACCATGATTCAAACACAGATCTTCTGCGTGAAACGCTTGTGACGTCACCAGATTACTTACGCTATCTGTACTACGCCTAGGAAACTTGCCTTTCCTGCTCGCGACACCATAGATAGGTTAGACACTTTGACGTAAATTTCGTCACCAACCGTCAGACGAAGTGTCGCTGACGTGTAACTCGTGTGGTCACTGTGTGACGCCACGGGGTCAAGGTTCAATGTTCTGACACTCTTCATGAGAAGCTGATTGCCTGAGTTAGGGTAGATGACGTTGTATCGGTACACATAGTGGTACAACACACTACTGGATTTGGGGGCGTTCGCACTGATGTACTTAGAGAAATAAATCTGGCTGTACACGACATACAGTCCTGTTGTGTTGATAACAAGTCGGTCCTTTGTCAAACTGATTCCCTCCATGTGAGATGTAGGATCGTCGGATCGCCAGTTCCGAACAGGTTCGTCCCCAATACCTATAAGATGATAAAATTCAAATTATACTGCTTTATAGAGCTGTTATATCTCAATATATATTTGCAAATGTGTCAAACTGTTCTGATCAATTGAAGTTAAGTATGAACAATCAATTTACAGAAATGCATATGTCAAATGAAAGTATAATTGTCTAGGTTTGGTTTAAGATATATAGTATATGTAACAAGGCAATTCTTCAGCTGAGTTTCCTTAACTTCAGCGTAGGAAAGAAGATGGCTAATTGTTTCAATTAGGATTCAAATTCCTCAAGAAATGAAGCCAGTGGAGTGTTGACAAGGATTTTCTAAATGGAGCATGACCATCAAAAAACCGTTCGAACAAGGAAGATCAGATTGCAATTGCCGTTAAACTGTAAATATGTTAAACATTTTATTTTAATAAGAAAAAAACTGCCCACAAATGATATTGAATAAATCTCTTTTCGAGCAGAACAAATTTTAGATTGAATTTGAAATCAACACCAAAGCATCTTAAATTTTGTCAACAGATGATGAATGCTGTTCAGAACTTGACAGTTGGAATTTACCCAGACTTTTGTAACAAAATGAGTAAAAAATGGGTTTAATGGTAATTTTGGAATGTATGATCGTAAGAGCAGCATCTTAGTTTAAAGTACATCAGGTCAAAAGTCAGTTAATCCCGTGAGTGATAGATAGTGATGCACACCTGATAACGGGCGGGGTGTGTACCCAAGTGGTGAAGCACCGTGGCAGAATATCGCCATTATGATTGATCAGGACAGGTAGATGCTTTCTTGTATGCCTCGCGCTGGCGAACACATTTGTAAGTAAACAAGATAAGAAACAATGTATAAGGTAGATCAAAGATGGGAAGTTGATAACGGGTACTCCTAGTCGCACGTGCCTTCATAATTAGATGCTCCGGGGGCTGGGTTATTGTTGTCCAATTGAGACTAGGCTTAAATTAAGTATTTGGGTATTATTTATACAAAGATAATAGCCAGCACTAGGGTAGTCGAGTCTGGGATCGAGTAGCTAGAGAGAGAGTTGGGAGTCGGACGTGGAGACGGGCAGAGTCCCGTAGGGGACCTGCTCCGCGATGGAGCGGGTCCTGGCCAAGTTGGCCCATGGACATTTGTATGGAACTCTTTGATATGGACGGGCAGGTTTTTAGTTTTTTGTCTGCCTTACACAGGTGTTTAGTTTTGGTGCCACGACATGATGCTGTATGTTGATTAGGAACTATCTTTTGTAATGCATGCTAACGCGAAGTACTAACTATGGAAAACCACTATACGATGAAATAAACGTTTCGGTCAACCCAAGTAAACACTGTGTTTAGTCATTGTGTTACACTTTTTCTTAAAAGCTAAAACGAAATATCGATGGGTAATCAGAGATGTTCTTATTTCGTGTGAAACGTATACTTAGGTTAATTGTACAATAATATAATATACAATGTCGTTACACACACATGACAATTAAATTGTTCGTGGTTATCGAATGAGACAGAATAGTGTAGAACGTAATCATATTGGTCTGATTTCTCTAAACTTAACTTTCATCAGTATGACTGCTTCTTTAGAAGGTCTTTGGTTTGATTAATATCTATAAGTCTTACCAAGTCAAACATGATCTTAGACTGCCTGGCATCGTTCGCGCAGCACACCCTATCACCGTTAAAATCTGACTTCACGTCCAGTTCTCTTGTAGCCTCATTTTCTTCGTCAAATGGGACAAGGTCAGTTCGTCGCAAAGCAGACAGATCTTCCTGCTAAACAAATTGTTTGTTTCTTTTGAAGTTGTGCTCGAACTTGTTCCAGATTGAAGAACAAAACGAAACGCATGCGTGAAGGACGACGCAGAAGAGTGAAAGAATAATGGCAACGATGATTAAGATGCAAGAATACCGATCGGAAGATTTCTTTGCGGTAAGAGGGCGAAAGTCACAACCAGCACTACAGGGAAGAATGCTGGTACGTGAATCAGTTGTGGATACTTGCCGACCGCTCGCTGTTCTGGTATTTGGCGTTCGACAAATCGCAAGGAATGTCGTAATGGTTGGAAGACAATTATATCTCAGAGTCTGAAACAACAAAAACTATTGATAAGA